TTTATAATTAGTTAAAATACTAAGCTACACGTATTCTAACTAATAAATAAAACAAAGTAGTCACTTCAGCTTTGAAGTGAATATCAAACTATTGTACAATTAATACAAATATTTTTTACAATACAAATCAATATATTTAGCACACAAAATTAGATGACAGAGACTTTCTCATTCAGCCTAATTAACTGCCTTTAATTTCTGCCTAATGTTTCCTTCTGTAAGTCACATATGGACATTTTATTTTCGATACATTATTTTATTCTCAACATTAGCTCTTGTGCTAGTGATCAAAACAGTCCTGAGCTAGATCAAGCTTTAATCTGTGCAAACCAAACTATCACTTTTTTTATTTGTATTCATTTATTTATTTTTGCATTCACTAATAAAAAGATTCTATCATTAGCTCGCTCCGCTCTGGACAGCGTATCCACATCGCTGTGATCAGATGCTTTCTTAACTGCTGTTCTCTCATTTCTGTTGTGTTTATTTCATTATTGAGAGGAAAGCTGCAGCATATATTTACATATTCATTTAAAAACTGCTTTCATCAGTCGGGTTCGGCTGCGGAGTCGGTCGTCTTCTCTTGAATTTCATCATCTGGGAGAGCTCGATTACCGTCTTGTGCTACAGCGCCACACTGGTCAAACCGCGGTACTGCAGGCTCTTACATTAGCTCATATGAGATCAAACGACTATTCGACCACCAAAATATTTGTCGACAATTTTTTATTGTCGATAATGTCGACCAGTGATTTCAGCCCTAGTGTGAGTGCAGAATGAAGATGAATGGTATGAGTGCGTACGAGCTGACGTAAGACTGATTTACACCGCGCTGTGTAGTTGGGTTTGAAGTCGTCTAATGCAGTGTCTCTGGGCCAAAAACAGCTGCATGAATGTGAACGTTTGACACCAAATGAAAACATCAACTAAAAACACTCCTCCATTACTAACACATCACCGGCACGCGCAGCCGCTTGGAGCTCATTTCTGGTTAATGATGCCACAGAATTTACCGGTATTTTGAAACGAATGTGCAAAAGTTGTTCCGGTAGTTTTACAGCATTTTACTGGCATTACTGTGTGAAAGGGGCTAATGAATCTCTGTCAGTGCGCACCGCTTTGTTGATTCGACTTCTTTTGAGTCATTTGATTCATTTATTCGTCTCGGTATACACGGCCAGAATGGTTCGACTTTTGAATTATTTCACTGATTCGATTTAATTATTATCATTATGTATTAATGATGTTTGTAAGACATGCAGACAAAGACAGAAACAGGAAAGTACTCATAATGTTGCTCCTGATGCTTCTTATGTGATATTAAACAGATAGTTCACCTAAAAATGAATATTCTGTCATCATTTACTCTTCCGCATGTTGTTCCAACCCTGTTCTTGCTTCTGTTGAACACAAAAGAAGATGTTTTGAAGAGTTTGTAACAGAACAGTCGACGGTAGCCATTGACTTACGTGATATTCTTTTCTGTGCTATGAAAGTCAATGGCTGTTTGGTTACCAACATTCTTCTTTTGTGTTCATCAGAAGAATAAAGCTCGTGGCTCAGTAAATGAGTTTTTCATTTATTACAGGTGGAGTTCAGTGTGTCTGATTCAGTTGGGATTGTTTTCATTAGTTTTGGGAATCTGGACGTATTCAGACTCGATCATGGGCCTCATTCATGAAACCTTCATACATGTATGAGCTTAAACAAACGCTTCGTTAACCGCAGATCTGATTAAAACGTCTGCATGAATTCCAATCAGTGTTACAGTTATTATTATTATTATTATAATCTACAATGTATTAAAAAGGAAATCACAATAGGCACCTTCAGTCATTTTTGCTTATCAATAAAATATTTCTCATTTAACTAATTGGTTCACTAATTAATTTGATGTATTATTGTGGTAAGTGCAGTTTTGTTAGTTTGGCTAAGAGAACACAAAACATTTAGCTGTTTTACGCACCATTACGTGTGTTTGGAAGAGCTGCAAGTGTTTTCTGAAAGTACAAGCACATTTAAGAAACCATTATTTCTGCTTGTGTTTCATGAACGAGACTCCATGTTTGCGTCACCAGCTGGTGTGTGTGTGTGTGTGAACATTGATTATCTGAGAAAGCCCCTCTGTGTGGAAGAAGAACCTACACGGTTGTTGTTTTCTCCTCCTCGTGATCCAGAGAAGCGTTGATGTGCTCCTGCTGTCTGGTTTGGGGTTCAGAATCACTGTATTTGTGTCAGGCAGAGTGAAATCTGACACAGGAAGTGTGTGACCCCTCAGGGACCGTGTGTGTGTGTGTGTGTGTGTGTGTGTGACCACAGCTGTGCATTACATGTGTGTGTGTGTGTGTGTGAGAGAGAGAGAGTGTGTGTGTGTGTGTGTGTGTGTGTGACCACAGCTGTGCATTACATGTGAGTGTGTGTGTGCGTGAGAGAGAGAGAGTGTGTGTGTGTGTGTGTGTGTGTGTGTGTGAGAGAGAGAGAGAGTGTGTGTGTGTGTGAGAGTGTGTATATTCAATCTCACCCAGAATGAAACCTCCCTATGTTTCATCTGTAAGATCCTTTAATGTTAGTTTCATTCTAGAGCTGAAGCTGTGTCCTGTAGCAGAGAGGACTCTCACCAGTGTGGGGCAAGTTACTTCCAAAATGTAATGCATTATATATGACTAGTTCCTGTCTTTTGAAAGTAATTAGTTACATTACAATATTACTGTCTCTGAATTGTAATGCGTTACACTACTTTTGAGTTACTTTCACCAAAATATCCACAGAAGTATTATAAAATGCCAAAATGTAGTTTATTGCTGCTCATTCTACATCCAGTGGAGAAATATAATAGAATGAAAAATATAAGTTGCTAAACAAGCCAAAATGAATTAGGTTAATTCAATACGAAACTGAAAGCAAACGGCGTTCTCGCGCAGCCCAGCTCTCTCATTCGGCATTAATCCATTAAATGTGTCCATATTTGTGATTTATTTGAATGCTAAACTGTGATTTATTATGTAAACCAAGCTTACTTAACGCACTTAAAAAACATCCTCGTCACACGAGCAAACGTGTGTTTGGCCCGAGCGGCACGGATTGTACGCAGTACGCACTATTTAAATTAACCAGTGTATCTATATGTTTGGTTGACTGTATTTTATTCTGATAATGAACGGCTGCAACGTTTGCAATGCTGTGTGTGTGTGTGTGTGTGTGAGGCGCCGGCGCTTGATAACAGCAGAAACAGACAAAAACATTCTCCATTTCTCCATGTTGAGAGTTTGGTGTCGCACATATTGCTAAGCATTCTTATCCTCTTCTCCGATGAACTGAAAATAACAGCAGTGTGTCCATCTCACAGTCATCTCAAACATCTCGTTCCAGCAACAGAAGATAGATGAACTATTTTACCGCAGAGTTTTTTCTCTGGTGCTGTTTTGTGGTGTTGGTAAATTCACCACTTCATTTAGAGTTCAAATATGTTGTTGCAACTTGCGTTACTGAGATTGTAACGAGTAATAATATTACCCAAATTTGATTAGTAATGCGTTATATTACTGCGTTAAAGCAAAAAGTAATATACTACTGTAATAGTATGTTTCTGTGTTTCTGGGTTCTCCAGTTTCGGGCCCCATCAGGCTCCTTCACCACAATCCACTGATGGTCTGCAGCCAGAACAGCTGCCTCTATCTGCAGTTCTCCGTAGAGTCTCATACAGATAAACGTCTTCAGTACTGGTTAACTGACCCGTTAAACACACACACACACACACACACACTGAGAATCCGCAGGTTTAGTCTGGATTGACCCGGTCTGGCCTCTCATGAACTAAAGCGTCTCATCAGAGCGACACGTGGATGATATATGATTGTGTGCGTCTTTAGAGCAGCAGGTGGCGCTGTCACACAGAGATCCTCTTATTTCTACAGGTCTTCATGATCAAAGCATCTTGACCGGGTTAAAGCATGCTCTCGTGCTCCTCTGGTGGATCTGGAATAATCTAGATCCTCAGTCCTTCACAGTAATGGTTAACCCTTCTAACCCTAAAGGAGTCACATTAGTGAAACGTGGGGAAGAAAGGTTTATTATCAGTAGTATAGTGACGTGTGAAGCCCCTCTGACACAGAAATCACTTTCAAAACAAGCATCTTTCCTTTAAATTCACACGAACGTCTGAACCTGATGCCAAATCTGCACTGTGTATTAAGTCTTTTAATATGACCGTCTTAGTGCTTTTTGTACACTTAGGACAAACCCAAACCCATGTCTTGTCCTCTAGGATGGTGTTTCTAAACGAGCGTGACGTCACGTGAAAACTGCGAATAGAAATGCCTGCATTTTTCCTGCTGAACACTGATAAACGTAAGACCGTTCTGGGAGGCAATTCTACAGAAATACTTTGAGCGTTTCAGATGCTGTGTGACGAGAGCCGTCTGCTGGTTAGTCGGGTTGTAACGCAAAGTCACAACTTTTTTTGATTAGCATGGAGGAATTTATTCACAAAATGCATTTCCATCTGCATGGAACCCTTTTTCGCACAAGTCAAAAACCACTTCAAGTGAGCGTAAAAACTTTCTCCTCCGTTTGCTCTTTTAATTCACACCAGATGTGCGACGGAAGTTTCATGAAATTCACAAGCTCGTTTTGAGAGAGTTTGTACAATAATAACTATTTTAGAGTTTGCGAAGGTCTTCACTTCACATGTAAAGTCAAACTGTTTTCTGTAGCTGCTGTCTGTTTTCTGAGATGAGTCTCTGCAGATGGTTGTTCCTCCAGCTCTGCTCGGTTTCTGTTAAAAACATTATTATTATTAATCCTAATGAGGTGACCGCTCTTATTAGCGCTGAGGAAATCAACAGGAACAGTGGCGTCTGTCTGGATGATAATCACTGAATAATGACGCTTTAGTTGTGTGTTTGTTTATCTTCTGACCGCTAGCTCCGCCCACTCTCGCTCTCACTCTCTCTCTCTCTCTCTCTCACACACACACACACACACACACACACACACACACACACACACTCTCTCTCTCTCTCTCTCTCACACACACACACTCCTCCGGTCGCGCTGTGCGGCTGTGGCTCGGGCGGGTTTCTCGGTACCGATGGTGTTTGCGGCGGGGTGTGAGCTCGGCTTCGGTTCCGTCATGTTTGATGCCAGTGTTTGGCGGATCCGGAGCATCCGGGACTCTGTGAGACTCGAGATCAGCGACGAACCGAGTCCTGCGGTGCTGAACCGACTCACTCATCTGGACCCGGACGCTCCTCACCTGGAGGTAGAAGAATAGAGTTATTAGTCTTCTCTTATATAGAGACACTATCTTATCATCAGTGACAATAATAATAGAGTGTATATAATTTTTTTTTTTTACAAAAAACATTTATGAATTTTGCCATGTAATACACACTTTGCTGTAAAAAGTCGTTGCAATCATATCATAACTCCTCTTTATTGTATTAATTACGTCATCTTTATGTCATGGTACAGTAGAGATATTTGAAATACATCATGACTTTTAAAGGTGTAACCATGATCATGTAAGTATAAGAGTGGTTACGATATTTATAAACAAATCATGCATAGCACATGTATTTAAATGTGTGTTATTCAGCATTATTAAGAGCTTCGCAGTGATTATATACACAGGTATAGGGTGTTACTGTAATAAATATAATGAAGAGTTGATATTGATATGATTTGATCTGATTTTACAGGAGAAGACAAATACTTTCTTAACGTTCTTCACTTTTTGCCTAGTTTCTGATGTCTGTATGTCAGTATTTCCCTGCATGCATTGCAGTGGAGTCGTGCTGCTCTCTGGGTGTGTGTGATGATAACATGATTATGATGCTCAGAGTCTGTCTCAGTTGGTTTTGTGCGGATCGATACCAAACATCTGAAATCCGTCTCAAACCATCAAAACAGTGGCGCTGCAGATGCATTACTCTGTGCAAAGCACTCTGGGTAAGGTTTGAGTTTTATTTGTCTTGTTGCAGCATTGTGAAGAAACCCCAATCCAGTTTGTTCCCTGAAGAAGTGATCCGATTTAAAGAGGTCAGAGGTCCTGAGACTGATCACTTGACTAGTGCTGTGAACTGGTTAGTGTGCAGTGCTGCTGTGGTTTGCAGAGATGAACACACACAGAGACTGTTTTCTGTGAGTCTTTGTGTTTCAGTTATTGATCTGTGAATCACAGAAGCTTCCTGAAACACGACTCTCTCTCTCGCTCTCAAATTCAAATTAAATTCAAAAATTGCTTTATTGGCATGACTGTAAATGATACAATATTGCCAAAGCTTAGTATACATGTACAAAAAGATACAAAATAATAATATAATAACAATAATAAGTAAATGAACATCACAGTAATATAATGGAATAGTATAACATCTTAGAAGTATTAAACTGTAACCAATTATAACGTGTGTGAACATTTGATACCACAGTCTTTAACTTACATAGAAACACACATACATGCTTCGGATCACTGTGGTGGACAGTATAACACACTGAGTTCAGACATAACACACATTCACCTGCTCTCTCTCTCACTCACACATACACACACACGCACACGCACACTCTCTCTCACACAGACACACACACACACGCACACTCTCACACACGCACACTCTCTCACACAGACACACACGCACACTCTCTCTCACACAGACACACACACA